GGTCGGAATCGACCGTCGCGGGTCGGAATCGACCGTCGCGGGTCGAGAAGGCGCACAGATGCCGCAAAAATTAAGGGGTGTCGCGGTACGGCATGTCAGACCACAACTAACTAAGTCAGCAGAATGCAGATCATTCTTGATAAGCGACCAGTGCTGGCTAACGTCACCGGGTGGAGTTGGTTATAGCTTTTCAGCTAGCGCGTTCTGAAAGATAGTTAGGTGTGCTGGTTGAGACAACTTACCACAGTCTAACCGTCGTTGTGTCGTACGTTTGGAACGCCCACCGAAGTAGATGAACAGCTTGGCGTAAACTAACGCGTTTTCGGATTCGAGGAGAGTGCTCTAGTACGATCGGCAGTCTTGTATACAACCCCGCCATTTGTGGCTTATAGCGATGTGGTCGATCAGTGTCGGTCTCTGATTCGAGGGCGGACACCAGGTGACGTACCGGCAGTTAGAGCGCCTGAAGTTCGTACTGGCGAGGAACAGGCGGTGGTCCAAACAGAGCGCCAATAGCCGTTCCCCGTTTCCCGAGCGACAGGAATCTAGTCCGAAAGAACCTCCCAGATGCGTCTCGCTCGAAGTCAGCCGACCTACTCTATCTCCGGCTACAATCGCCATATCAGCCCGACTGGCTTTACGAAAAAGGTCGTGTAAGTTATGATAAAATGCATCTTTGACTGCATCTGGGCTGCAGTCCGTTGGGGCGTACACTGACAAGACAAACAGGGTTCGTCTATCGGGGCGACGGCAGCTTACTTTGCACGCACCTCTAAATCGCACTGCGTACAACCTACTGTCGACTGGGAACCAGTCCAGGAGCGCGGCTTCAGCTTTCTCACTGAGAGCTGCAACAACGCCAGCAAGATCGGAAGCCGCAGCCTCAGGATCTCCAGAGATGCGTAAGCGAAACTTCACTGATGGGTTAGATGAGGACGTCAATCGGATAATGGAGCTGGGGTCTGGAATGCGAGTGTCTTGGATACAACACACATCGATGGCTAGGGTCTCGAGCGTACTAACTAAATCGGCCTGTTGTCCTACACGCAGCAGAGTGCGCACGTAAAATGTGGCTAGTTTGAATGGGCATCGACGGCAAGGAAGGGCTTCAGCTGATGAAGCATTCGGTGAAACTTGGACGGCTGTCAAAGAAGGACATGAGAGAACAGCGACAAAGTTTCCATCTGAAGAACCCGAACAAGAGGGGATGGGTTAGAGGGGTGAAGCTGGAATTGGGGAGGGCTGGGGAGGGGTCTAAGTGTGTTTACGATGTAGAGTGTCTATATGCATGTGTGGAAATGGTAGACTGAATGAACATAAAAGTCGAAGAATTCATCTTTGTTGGCGTTGTGGGCTGTTGCACTACTCGGTCTCCCGATCCAAAGTAGTAGTATTTCGAGGATGCAATCTAGCCTTTGAGTAACCAAGTGCGGACTGCAAGCAAGCAGCGATGTTCCAGATGAACCGGTGGCCAGTATTTGGTTCATTGGCCTCTTCTGGAAAACCTTACCCAACAGTAAATTTCGACAAAGGGCTATGGCCATATTTAGTGGCGGGCCACACTCGTCACGTCACAGCGCTGATCACAGACATGCGTGGAGTTTTATGCGGAGTACTCTTGCCAAGAGGTAAACCCACCACATTCTTGAGCGCTGCCGCTGATCGTCCGCGACCGCTTATTCAGAGAGCCAAACCCAATCTTATTCACGGTTAGCCATGAGTCGACGGCCTTTCCCCTGTCCGCGACCTGGGGACGCCCTCGGTAGCATACAGCTCTCCTTTCCCAAGCTACCCATCTGGTAGTGTACAGACACTGAATGCAGCTAAGTGATAAGGGGACTTAGGTTTCACACATTTGATAGCCTCTGAGTGGTTGACAGTATTAGTTGAACGTGGAGTGATATCCTATGGGATTATTTGGGATTGAAAGGAAAAACTAGACAGATAGGAAGGATGGTTTCCCAAATGGGTGCCCAAGATTCTAGGGCAGGGCATACTTTGCGGTAGCCCATATCGACGTAGGGGTTTTTCTGTGGGAACACTCACCGGAGCCTTCGACTCAAAATTTTGACCCACAAAACAGTGGGGCAAAAAGCCAACGCCCCAACGTGAACGAGGCACCCATGGGAAAGCTTCTAGAGACCTGTCACGCAAGGCCTACGGACTTCGGTTAAGTTTGTTGTTCGCTGGTGCGTTGATTATCGGTCCGCTTTTCGGGAGAAGCCCTTAGTCTCATGCACCCAATGAGACACGCGGAACGTGGACGGGACAGCACCTTATTGGCTGGGGGCTGCCCAGCTTGGGTAGGCGGTAGCTGTCCAATGAAGTGCGAAGACTTCTCCCACCGTCGAGAGGAAGCACCAGGTAACCCGCTCCTACGTCCATTTAGCAGGACTTTTTTGACCGGTAAACTGTCCCTTACCGTGTTTACTTGCTGGGGTTACCTCTCCAGGGGCAAGTGTGAGTAGACAAAGGGGACCAGGAGGTGCCCAAGCAGCTGGCTTTGTCTGCCCTCATTGACCTTTCAGACATGATTGGATCTGCGGCTGTGAAAAGCCATCCTGTGTAGCTCACACGGTCATAGAGGCACGTAAGCCATCACACCAAGTCAAGGTGCAGTCTCGTCGTGATGGATCTGATTAAAGAGCCCATTGGTTATTATATAACCCTAGTTATACCCTCCGATTCCCGAAGATTTTTAATTTTTTGGCAAAATACCCTCATCATGGAGATTAACGGGAAATTCTATTTGTTAAATGAGGGTAGTGGAGTACTAGATTTTGAAATACAGTGGATTTGGTCATCTACAGAGTAAACGAAGCGTGAACTGAATAGATAGGAAGCAATGCACACACAGTTGTCTCATGTGCAGTGCGAATCCATCGATCTAACTGAGTACCGAACCCGGGACCTCACAGTAGAACACAAGCATACTATCCACTTCAACACCGGACTGTTTTTAATTCTGCCCATACATAGTCAAGCATAGCTGAAGTGGGTAGTATACTTGCGTTCTATCTGTGAGGTCCCGGGTTCGATCCTCAGTTAGGTAGATGGATTTGAACCGCTAATTAAACCCAATTAGGTCGAAACAGCTGTGTAGTGCTTCCTTCCAGTTTACACCTCGTTCGTTCAGCGAAACCACGAAATTCCCCATCTGAAATCTATTATTGTTCGCCCTTGTGTCTCCGTGAGATTGCACGATTAACTAAAGTCTAGTCATTAACTCTCATTTGCTGCATGGAGAGAAATCGTCACAATGGAGATGAAAAGCAAGCAATGCTGTCCATCGGAGATCAAAACAACCGAGTCGAGAGACGATCAACATTATTGAATTACAATGATTAATAACAGAACTGGATGATTCGAATCCCTCCCATAATCTATGCGAATAACGTTTCTCCGGTTCAAGTATACCTTTTTTCGCTCCTCTTTGCATACACACACCCACATCCACAAAATTTTATACACATGCCTCATATTTCAGTGAGCTCGTTTGTAATCGGCCGCGTTCACCCATTGTCTCACGCCACGTGATATCCAAACGTCCCGCAGAGATTGGCGGTTGTTGAATCGGTTGACTGGGCTGTGGTCCTATTGGTCGGAGTGGAGCGGAAGTAGCTTTCGAGGCGTCCGCAGCGATCGATTTGACCGTGTGCATTTGCAACAGCGAAGCGGTCGGAGTCAATCGGAACAAGAACTGACGAGTGTCATCTGGACGCAGACAAATCGGTAACCCTTTGGATGGGAACCTGGTGGGTGAAAACAAGACAAAGGAAACGAGGTCTGTGTGAGACCATAAATCACAGCTAGAAGATGGTAGAAGGAATGTGAATTTCAGATTTACCGAAAAGGGCTGGGCAAATTTCTGGATTGTGGCTGCAAAAGATAAACGAAAACGATTCCCCCCCCCCCAACGCATATCATTATTAAAGCATTGGCGTGACTACCATATGCACATGTGCAAGTATCTTCATTTGGAAGCCGATATGAAACATGATTCACTAAAGTGAACTTCGTTGATGGCTTCCAAGCTCATTTGTACAAAATAAACCAAAATGTGGGAGACACATATTTCGAGAGGGTGTGTGGAAGAAAGACACTGCACCATTATCACCAACTCACTGAGTACATAACCTAGTGCATATGTACAGATTCAAGAAATAGATACATAAGAAATAATATGGCGAACCAGCTTGTTTTTGTACCTTCGTCTTCAGACATTTACAGTTTTGTTTATATAAAACAAGCGAGAACGGAGGTGTACACTGAGTTGTAAAATGATTATTGTGACGTTTCGATCAAAACTAGGATTCGTTGTCAAACGTAAATGAAATGAGTGAAATAATGGGATTACCGTCTTTCCGTGCGCCTGTGCGCTGTTTTTACGTCTATCAGTCCACCAATT